TATTTGTTTTGGCAATATTAGCCTACTACCTTGGAACAACTCAGTATATAACCATACGAGGTAAGCATCGAAATGTGAGTGCAAAAAAAAAAAAGACAGTTCGTTTACTCAGTTTGGGTTTACTGGGGAAAGTCGCAAAATAATTACAGAAAAGAATGGGAAATTAAAACCCAATTAAGTGGCCACCTCCATAAAGCGGCCGCGGCCACCTTTTGGTCGTCCCAACGAGAGTTCTCTCTTAGCTTGACCTTATTTTAAGAAAATGATGAAGGAAAATACAGCCCAAGATAGAAGATGACGACCGATTGTGGACCAGTAATTCTTCTCCAGTCGTGCGTCTCTGTCTCTTTTTTTTTTAAGTAATGTTTCTGCTAAAGATTATGCTAATTTATGACAAACCAATTGCTGGTACCCTGAAGGTTGCCGCGTAATGGAGGTTCAACTGTGGTTAAATACCTGCAACGTGTTCTGTTGCACCTCATTTTTAACTCTGCTTTGCAGTAATAGGAGGCTAGAGGTCTGGGAGCTTTCTTTTGCCTCGCACTAGTCATATGTTTTCCCAGCGCTTTTTACCAGTTCGAAGATACGGCCTGCCTCGTTCCTTGGCGTCTTAAGTGTTTGGAAAACGGAAAACGCGACTACGAGTATTGCGCAATGGGACCATGGGCACGTTTAGCTTTGACGCAAAGGACGCTGGGAGCGAGAGTTTTTCTCTTCGTCTTTCCCATGATACCTAGCGCGGAAACGAAATCGCTCCAGTTGTTCTCGAATCTGCTAGAACGTTTCTGGGTACGAGGTAGAGATAGTACTAGGTTATCGGTTACATCGATGATGCCAAACAAAAACCTACTAGTATTGCCCGACTATAGCCAGCCTCTGTGAACAAAAAAAAAACGTCCAAAGCGCTTTAATTGTATGTGTTTCAAACCTGCAGTGAGACGCAAGAATTATCCTTATTTTTGAATATTTTGGTTACACATAATCAAAGTTTTTTTCTTCTTTTAAAAGGAAATCTCGTCAACTTAAACGCGGACACAGTTATTCAATACTTCAGAAACAACAAAAAGAGTAAGGAAATAGATGAGCGCACAGAGGAATTCATCATAAATTCAAGCAACACCCAAGAGAAAGTACGACACAAAGACAAGAATGGAGTAAAATTCACAAACTTAGAAAATATGGCTACTGTAAAAAACTCTGAAAGATCGCAGGTAGATAGAATTTTAAACGCAGTTTTAAGCACAAAGCTAAACGGAAATCTGTCGCAAAGAGGAGCGAATAGAAACGCAACCCATTTTACCTTACTAAAACAAGTACAGCATTCAAAAAGCCAAAAGATGGCACTTTTCACTTCGAGTACCAAAAAGCCACACGGTTCAAGAAGGTCACAACTTTCTGAGAAGATCCAAAATCAAGATTCAGAATCAAAAGTCTCGGATCAGATCACAGCATTCGGAAAAAAGGAGAAGTTTAATTTCGATAACTGGTATAAAGAGCGGACCACCGAGATATGCGGAACTGGCTGGCAAGAAAACTATCGCAAACTTCATGAAGAAATATTGAGCAAGCGACGGGAAGAAAAATATTTGGTTTATTTATGTCCAGGAACGCGGCAAGGTTGCTGTGGTTACGGAAATCGACTTCGGGCAGTGGTGTCTTTGTTTTATCTCTCAATTCTGACAGACAGGGCTTTTTTGATTGATTGGCGTGCGCCTGAACCAATAGAAAACCATTTGTTGCCACGAAACATCCAGTGGAATTACTCGGAGCCCATTGATCTTTGCACAGGGCTGCCAATACGGAAACATTATTGGGGAACAACGAAGACCGACATTAGAGAAGCAGAAGGTTGGATTATTCAAGATGGCAGTCATTTTAAAAAATGGTTGACTACAACAGAGTTGGCAAATTACTTCACCTGGCCAGTCGAGGAAATAACTACTATCTGGTACTTCGCAGAAGGAGGAATCACATTAAATCCTTACTTACTAAAAAGAGCAAAAGAATTGGGAGTAAAGCCATTGATTTCTAACACGCCGAAGTATAATCTCATAGGATGTGCTTTTGATTTTTTGTTCTCGAAATCGGGCGCAGTCTCGAACAAACTTGACGAGATGAGAAGACAGCTTAAATTTGATGCAGGGCCAATTATTGGAATACACATACGAACAGGCGATGATCAATTTGATTATTACTCGTCAGATAACGAGCGAACTGGGAACTCCAAAAACATTTCTCAACTCTCAAAATTCTTTGATTGCGCGCGAAAGATAGAAAGCCAAATCTTTGGAAATGGGACATTCGAAGCATCAAAAGTACGATGGTTTGTTTCAACGGACAACGCTTTTGTGAGGAAATATGTCCAGAAAAGTTACCGTCGAAAAGTTATCACTTCTAATCTAACGATCCAACACTTGGACATTCTCCACAACACTACCGTATTAAACTTCACGGCAGAATGTAACTATACGGACAGTTCTAATACTACAATGGTTTGTTACAACGTTGAAATATTTAATGTCACAGCCTACTGTGAAAACCGCACAAAATATTGGCTGGAAGCTGAAAGCAACTCTACTGCAAATGAAACAGGTCTCTATACTGACGGAATCATAGCGATGCTAGTTGATCATTTTCTATTAGCAGAGAGTGATCTTCTAATATTGTGCGACAGCAGTTTTGGCTCCACAGCGGTTGGTTTGAGCATGCGCAACACGTATAGTTATACTTTGGCTGATCGGGGTTGTGTTGAACTGGCAGCAGCTCAGAAAAACGGGAGGTTGAGGTATTTCGGACGGAGATAACATCTTAGGGTAGCAAAGCGAGCCGAGCGGTAGTCTAGGGAAGGGAAAGAGTGGGGGAGGCTTTGCTGCCCTTTTCCTCTCCCGATTCCACCACTTGGCTTGCTTTACTCACCGGTTTTTTGTTTCACCACAATTTTTGCCTTCCCAACCCCCCCACCCCCCCCCCACTGTGGAGCTTGGTCCCAGACAATTTTTGAAGCAGGTGGGAGATGAATATATCTCACCTTGCTCCATGTCACTGCATGTAAGATAATCTAAGAAAGTCTTTAACATCTGGATTCCATACAGTAGAGTCTGGGTTCCTTGTCATTAGAGCTTGGATTCCGGATTTCAATGGTTAGTGATATTCATTAATTTCAACACCATATACTGGAAAAAAAAAGTTGGAAATAAATAAAATTTTAGCCTCACAGACATTGACTGGCCATTACAAAGTCTACCTAATCATCCTTCTTCTTTTTCGGTAGTCCTAACCAGTGTTCTAGCATGAAATTTACTAGAGTTTTCTCTTTGATGTAAACTAGAATTGCAACAGTCAACAGACAAATTCCACCAACACCGATATGTAAAATACGATAATACCATCCGTGATCACAACACAGCCTTGTCTCTGATGTAGCAGTAATTACCCATGACACGGCAAAAGCCAAAAGGACCAAGGGGGATGGAACAAGACCTTGCAAAGGTTTCAGATGAGGCGTTGACTTGAAATAGTGATGGATGAAGATCAGGCTGCAATAGAACAGAATAATTCTTTCAGTTGAAATGCACATGTATCTGTAAACTACTCTCCTTCACAGCCATCTTTAGGGTTGTCATGCAATGCTCCTCTTGAGTGATGACCCTAAAAATGTCTGCGAAGGAGACTATCTGTAAACTGGACCAGATGGAATACTGGAATATGATCAGCAACACTTTCCCACTGAAATTTTCATTTTCACACTTATACAGCATATGTTATATATAATAATGTTACGTGATTCTTCACGAGGAAACCAATTGAGAGTGGTAGCAAGAAATACATGTATGAAAAAAAAAAAAAGAAGCATATTAATAGTAACCTTAGGTGCCCCCTGCCCTGTCTTCAAATCCTGATGTATCTTTTGCTTGGGCTAAAAACATGCTACTGACCACCCTAGCAGTAGAACCTCCTTTTGTCTTCTTGATCGAAGCGATCATTTTACCTTTCTGGAAAACTGCCCACCTACCCCTCCGCTAAGCCGACATTAACACTTATCTCTCACTTAGGACAAAATGTTGGCTTGGTGGAGGGGTAGATGGGCACTGGAGTTTCCCAGAAACATATAATGATCTGATCAAAGAGGAAAAAAGGAGTTTCCATCTGAATTACTTCAAGCTTTTGAAGTCACAGCAGTTTCAACTTTTGTCAAACTGGTTTTTCGAGTGCAAGCATCTGCTTACTGATAAATAAAACTGATAGTCGTAACTGGGCATGTTGTACTCAGTGCAAAGCTATCATGCCTGCATTCAAAATTACATCCTAGCAACACGCAGTGCATTCTTCATAAAGATATTGCTTTTCACACAGAGTCTTTCACTTGAGCACACCAAAATTGAGCAAGCAAAATAAGGCTCTGCTACCCGGTGTGAGTACTCAACAAATGTTTATATGGGAAGGCTCTGCCCAAGTCCAACCCCTTGCCCTTTAATAAACCATTTTTCATGAAAGAGGTAACCCTTTAGTATATCTTCTTTTGACAAATGGTACCCCTTCCACATACCTTGTTTAGAACTTTGCATCCCTTTTAACTGCTGTAAATGCACTGACCTTTAATAGGAATCAATCACCAAAATAGAACATTTTCTTGGCTTTATAACGCCATAGAACTCATCAGTTAGCCCTTTTGGGCCTTTCACAGACCCAAATGACAAATTTCCCTACCCTTTCATATGCTTGAAGCCTGAAAAAGATACCCCTTTTGGGCAGAGAACTCCCTGTATAGGCCACCATAGGGTGTAACCCCCCCCCCCCCCCCCCCCCCCCCCCCCCCCCCCCCCCG